TCCTGTCACTCCCTGCCCTTGGGAAAATATACATATATAAAAAAATATTAAATATGAGCAAAGTCAATATCAGATATTTAATAAAGAAGATGGTTTAAGAGTTGTAGCAGAAAAAAAATACAGGATCACAATAGTACAGATAGTTGGTTTGGGGTGATTAATTTTTTTTTTAGTGTTAGTCTTTTAGAATAACCTTAATCTCTGTCAAGTACCTTCTCATGGATACTGAGATTGCAAATTCCCGATCTGTGGTATTGGCAGGAGTTGGGGATTTACTAGAAGAACAAAACCTTTTGTTCAGCAACCCTGGTGCTCTGAAAGAATATCCTGATAAGAGGAGATGCCTGAATTGCAAATGGGAACACACTTGAACCTGTGCTGTGGTTTAACCTGGGACGCAGCTAAACACCACACAGCTGTTAGCTCACTCCCCCGTCAGTGGGATGGGGAGACAGTTGGATAAAAGGTGAAACTTGTGTGTTGAGAGGGAGACAGTTTAATAGCTCAGAAAGGGAAGGAAAATCAACTATAAAAGGATATACCAAACAAGTGATGCACAAAGCAGTTGCTCACCACCTGTTGACTGATGCCCAGCCAGTTCAAGCAGTGGCTGCTGTCCCATGGCCAACTTCCTCCAGCTTTGTGTGCTGATCATGATGTCATATGGGATGGAATATCCCTTTGGGCAGCTGGGGTCAGCTGTCATGGCTGTGTCCCACATTCTTGTGCCCTCCCCACCCTTCTCGCTGGCAGGGCAGCATGAGCAGCTGAGCAGTCCTTGAGTTAGTGTAAGCACTGCTCAGCAACAACTAAAACATAGGTGTGTAATCAACATTATTCTCATCCTGAATCCAAACACAGGATTCACATTCCTAGCGCTATGCCAGCTACTAGGAAGAAAATTACCTCTATCTCAGCTCGCAGACTGGTGGCTTCAGTTGCAGTACCAAACTAACTCTTCTGGAGTCCAGTTCAATGAAGAGCTTTTCTCACTGTGGATCGGGAGCAGCCACTGAGCCATGAGGATCTATTTGCATCTGTGTAGCTCTTGTGAGGGCCGTGCTCCAATGAGTTACAAGAGGTATGGCTGCTGGAGCGCTCCTGGGTGCTGTGTGAACAATCTTCAGGCAAATGCCACTCTTCTTTTTGACATTTTAACAGCCTGAGGAATGCAGTGGGTGTCAGTGGGGAATAATCCAACTGGCACGGCACTGCATCAGGCACGATTCAAAGGCTGCCTGTGTAAGTAATCAGGCACTTGTGTGTTATGAAATCCAGTGAATTATAACATCAGTAAATATTTCTGTGATATTTCTTGTAAATAGTGTTTTGTTAAGCTTTATTGAAATAGACTTAATGAATTGGAGGCTCTCGTTCATCTGACAGAAATCAAAGCCATTGTAGGAATGTGCCTCCTATTGTCAACAAAAGCATTTTAAGACCTCTTTTTGCAGTGGTGATGCTAAATTTAGGAATTGCAGGGAGTTCTTACGAATTTTGCATGTAGGCAAGTTGGCCCCATAGTTTTGGGGCAAGATTTGTGTTTTCTGTTTCAGATTTCTGGCAGTCTGCCTGTTAAAGAAATTACTGTATTTCTTTATTACTACAGCTCAGTAATTACTGCAGCTCAGTGTTCGCTGCAGCCGTGGATTCTAGCCCCTGGCTCCGTAAGCAGGCTGGCGGGAGCTGTCAGGAGTTTTCCCTGTCTTCTGGAGTGGCTGAGATGGAGTAGGTATTTAGTAGAAGGGGTAAAGAGAAATCTAGGCTTTTTTTGCTGTGGCTAGTAGGGGATAAGAGGGGATAATTGATTCGTGATGACCACAGAATATGGGCCCTGCAGTAGGGATGCTCTGGGTACTCGGGTGACAGCATTTCAGTGCCGGTTAGTACCAGACACTAGAGCATGCAGCAGGTTTGCAAGAAGCAGCCTCTTCTGGGGAGATAGGCTTGTAATGGGCTCTGTGTAAAAATGAAAAAATACGCAGAATGAGCTCTGTATGGTTTGATTTTTGTGTCGTGTTTATCTACTGGGACTCGGTTACAGACGGTTAGTGCGCCCAGAAGTGAGTTTGTCTGGGCTTGATCTAAAAATTTCCTGATGCTTCCCTCACCCACCATAAATAGTCACTTGGCTGTTGGATTACGGAGTAGAGGGGGAGCAGATACGATGCGTGCGCGCACTCGCATCGCCGTCCCTCCGTGAGCTGTCGCTGTGCTAGTCTCACGTCGTTGAGCACACCATCACTGTTACCCACTTCTGGATAAAGTATTGCTGACCCTGTGCCCAAACCATGTTTACAAGCTCCGTTTTTTAAATAAGGCCCAGAAAGCATATACAGCGTGCCTGGGTTTGATGTATGTATTGATCTTTAGCTTAAACTTCGTCAGTGAAGTTTAGAAATGCACTTTTTACGTGACAGCTTATGTAACGATTTTAGTACTTAATTCTAGGACATGGTGCTGTGAGGAATGTCAAGTATTGCAAGACGTGGGAATGAACTGCAAGAACCGGCAGTGCTGTGTACAGCGCGTATCCCTCGTTCGGATCCTGATTGCGGCTCGTAGTAGTTAGTGCTTGAAGGCATTGCCCTTGCACCACCGCCTCTCAGCATCAGTCTTAGGCTTGGTTGGTGCTGAGCTTTGATTAGGAGTGGGATGATAATAAGTTGCCTGAGCAGCTGAGGATGGGGCACTAAAAGAATAATTACAATTATGAATTGATTAGGCAGTGACTTAAGGTTGTAGTAGCGTGGTGTGTACTCGACAGGCTGGCTGTTTTGATGATTTGGGCCTGATCATCTGTCATCAAAAGATAATTTTGGGGATGTTTGAATTTTAGAATTGGTCTGGGATATTTGGATTGTCAGAGTTGCCACTTACCAGTCCTGGGTGGTCGTTGGTATGTTTGTCGTTGGATGGTGTGGTGGAAGGTGCAGATCCTGCGACAGGAATCTTTCCTGGGTCAATAGAAGTGATGTCCAATCTACACCTCCCCACTTCCAATTTAAACCCGTTACCCCTTGTCCTGTCGCTACCTGCCCTTGAATAAAGGCCATGCATCAGAAAACTGAAGTTGTCATCCTGTACGGGTTTCATTCTGCCCTGGCCTGTTGGGATTTCCGAGTCCTTGATGGACAGGTGGGTGTTGTCTGACTGAAATTTGAGTTGAGTTTGTATTCTGGGACTTCTCAGCTCCAGACCACAGGTAAAGTGAATAATCTGACTTCCACCTGTAGAGGCTTGCTACGCGGAGCTGAGAGCTTGGTGGAGAAACGTCTTGTGGGGATAATCCATTTTCCCTCTGCGTTTCTTCTGAAAGCTTTATAATCTCAGTTTGAAACCGACAGACTTCCTGACCGAGCTAGGAATGCTTTCCCAAATCCTGGATTAGCCAGCAACCCCGCACTTAACACGCTTCTCTGGTGGCGCACGGCTCCGTTTGTGTTGCGCTTGGTGGGGTTGGGTTGGCATTTGTTTTTTAGCTTTTTTGATTTGGATTTTGTTTTTTTCTGGTCTGGTATTTGCAGTTTAGTCCTGAACAGGAGTGAGTGGCCCTGAGACTTACCTCTTT